CTACTGGAATTCTAAGTATTTCCATATTTCTTAACATGACTGATGGCATCACCATCCAGAATCATCTTGAACTCTTCCTTTCTGCGTTAGTTTCCTAGAGTTGCCATAACAAAGTTCCACAAACTGGGTGGCTTAAAACAACAGAAAGTTCTTGTCTCATAGTTCTGGAAACTGAAAGTCCAAAATCAAGGTGTCACTAGGACTCTGCTCCCTCTGAAACCTATAAGAGAATCCTTCCTTACCTCTTTCCAGCATTTAGTGGTATTCCAGCAATCTCTGGTGTTCCTTGGCTTTGTAGATGCATCACTCCAATATTTCCTTTTCATATGGCATTCCCACAGGGAATTCCCAAATGAAAAGGCATCTTTTTATAAAGACAACTGTCATATTGGATTAGGGGCCCACCCTACTCCAATATGACCTCATCCTATCCAATTACACTAGCAACGATCCTATTTCCAAACAAGGTCACATTCTGAGGTATTGAGGGTTAGGACTTGGACGGATCTTTTTGCAGGGGACAAAATTCAACTCATAACACCTTCCCCTCACTAAAATATTAGGTCAGTCACTAAATCTAGTTAATCAGTCAATAAATCTCCCTAATATCTTTCAAATCAATGTCTTCTTTCCCTGACAAGCCATTCTACCCACTCCACTCTTCTCTCCTCCCACTCACATTTGTCCCATTTTCATCGTTTCTACCTTTAACCCTCATCAACTCTACTGAAATAGTTTCTTAAGCTATTTGGTCTCCTTGACTGTGGTTTCAACCACCCATCTCAATCTCAGCATTATTCAAGCTACACATGGATGATCTTATTACAATGCAAATCTATCAATAATCATGTTATACCACCACCACCACCACCACCACTCTTCCTCACGTCCCCAACAACAAACACAGCTTAAAACTCTACAGTGATTTATAAGAGAAATTGATATAAAGCAGCATGCTTCACCCTTTTGTCACTCTCTCATATGCACTCTATCCTCCAGCTAAACCAAACTGCTTACTGTTCCACATCTCTTTCCTTATACATATGCTGATCCTTCTATCTAAGATGGCTTTTCCTTCCTAAACACCTGACATATTTTATCCTTTAAACTCCATTTGACCCACAAAAATTATACATTCTTTGTGCCATTACCTTAATACATTCCTCTATTATTTTACTTATTACATGGTGTTTCAGTCCTAACATATGTGTTTTTTTCTTTACTACGCCTGAGGTTTTCAAAGTCGGATAGCCTATCTTTTGTACTCCTAACACCTAATATGTTGCCTTGTCCATTGTCAATATTTATTGAATTAGATTTACTTTATGGCTTTCTAAAACTAAGACCTACTCTAAAACTTTCACTTGAAGGGACAGATTCAGAAATGTGCTATCAGAGAGGGTAAGCTAAAGAAAATAATTTAGGAAAAAGAGAAATAAAACATCACTGCTAGCTAAAGAATTATCAGAATAAAGTATTACTCACTATACACCTACTAGAATGGCTAGATTTAAAAAAGAAAACTGACAATACCAAGTATTAGTGAACATGAAGAGCAACTGGAACTCTCGTACACGGCTGCTGGGAATGCAAAATGTTATAGCCACTCTGGAAAACAGTTTACAGCTTCTTTGAAGTTAAACATACACTTACCATATGACACAGCTATTTCACTCCCATTTTATCTAAAATTAACATAAATGAAGACTTATGCTACTACAAAAACTTGTACAGGAAAGTTTATAGTAGCTTTATTCATAATCACTGAAAACTGGAAACCAATGTCCTTCAGTGAATGAATGGATAACAAACTGTGGCACATACAAACAATGGAATACTTGTCAGCAATAAAAATACATTATCTTAAGTGAAGTATCTCAGAAATAGAAAAACAAACATGGCCGGGCATGGTGGTTCACGCCTGTAATCCTAACACTCCGGGAGGCCAAGGTGGGTGGATCTTTTGAGCTCAGGAGTTCCAGACCAGCCTGAGCAAGAGTGAGACCCCGTCTCTACTAAAAAAATAGAGAGAAATTAGCTGGATAACTAAAAATATATGTAGAAAAAATTAGCTGGGCATGGTGGCGCATGCCTATGTCCCAGCTACTTGGGAGGCTGAGGCAGAAGGATTGCTTGAGCCCAGGAATTTGAGATTGCTGTGAGCTAGGCTGATGCCACGGCACTCTAACCCAGGCAACAGAGTGAGACTCTGTCTCAAAAAAAAAGAAAGAAAGGAAAACAAATACCACATGTACTCTCTAATTGATGGGCACACATGGGCACAAAGAGATGTAAAGGTCATAGAAAATTAAGAAGTGGGGTAAAAACCTACCTATCAGGTACAATGAACACTATTCGTGTGATGGACACGCTAAAAGCCCTGACTTAAGCATTATAAAAGGTATCCAGGTAAAAAAAATTGGTACACTCTTAATATTTTGAAATAAAATTTTAAAAGATACAACATGGAAAAATCTCAAATGCATTATGCAAAGTGAAAGAAGTCAGTCTCAAAAAGTTACACATTATATGGTTTCCACTTGTACATTGCAGAAAAAACAAAACTGTAGGGAAAGAAAACAGGTCTGTGATTGCTGGGGTAAAGTCAGGGGTGAGGGAAGGATTTGACTATCAAGGGACAGCACCAAGGTAGTCTTCTGGGATGATGGAGCTGTTCTGTATTCTAATTTTGCTAGTTACATGAATGCATAAATATACTAAAATTCATAAAACTGTACACCAAAAAAGTTAATTTTACCAAATATAAATTTGAAAATAAATGCATCACCTCCTAGGCATAAGGATAAGCTGCCTTTCTCCTTCACTCCCACATACTTTACCCCTAAACTTGAAAAAGACTATCTTATGAAGTATTTTATCCTGTGAGGAGAAAGGTAGAAAAGACTAAAGAATGGCTTTGACGGGGAAATTAAAGGAATTTGCTAAAACATTATTGGCATTTATCTTGAAAGGCTGGGTTATGAGATAATAATCTATAATTTTAGAGAAAGGCAAAGGCAAAGAAGAAATGAAGAGTAGAGCAAATAGATCTTAAAATTGAAGAATGGATCGTCTCCCTAGTGTGCACCTCTGTTCTATAGTGCCATGGCATAACAATTATATCTTCATTTGATTTGCTTTTTGGTATGTTTCTGCTATACATAAAATGGTTTAAGAAAAAGTAATTTAATTTTAAGAAGATATAAACCTATTTTTAATTCAGTATATAAATCCAAATCTATTTCAAAAAGGGATTAATCAGTTGGCTGCAGTTTTTGCATCAAAAACTATAATTGGTGAAACATTCCTTAAAAGCTGGATGGAATCTAACACTGGGGTTAAATCTAAAAAGAAGTAAATGTATTTGAAGAAATGATATTCCACGTATTTGGTATTTTGCACCTATCTCCGCTTGTCTTTTTTTTTTTTTCCACTGCCTACTCCTCTTATCTTTTATTGCTTCCTCCCTTTTTTTCCTGCCATCCCAAACAATCTGCTATGTTATTTTCCTCTTCAGTGCCTTCTTGAAATTTGCCACAACCCTAAATTACTCAACTGCTCTTAGGACCAACCACATACAATATAGTTCATTTCAAAGGCTGTGAATTAAAATGTGGCTAATAGTCACATACAAATACTGTGATACTCTTTTGTTAAAACATGACAATAGGGAATGTAAGTAGTCTAACAAGACATTTAATATATATTGAATGTAAAACTGAAATTACTTTACATTTACTTTTCCAAAAAAGCATGTATGCTATTTATATTATAACTTTTTCAATATATTTGGCTACTAATATTAGAATGCTAAGGAAGGGTTTAATAAAGTCAACAAATATTAACATTAAATGTAAAATATAATATGCAATTATTTACAAAAAATATGGTTCTAACCAGTCTGTAAATAATTTGGTGGAGTCAAATTATTATGAATGCTGTAGCTTACTGAATAAATGGTTCAAATGTATACCTTGAATTCCAGACACTTGGCTGCCCAGAAAAGAATAGCTTTCCTGTGTTAGGACTTTGGGCAGAGACTATGTCCATAAGTCATCTATTGAGATGGAAGTGTAGAAATAAGACGTTTCCAGTTACGAACAACTGGTGGTCTTCCCTTCTCTTTTGCCCATTCACAAAAACAAGAATGACCTTTGGGTAAACCCTAAAATGGTGGTGTAAACCACATGCCTGTGGAACAAGTTCTTTAAAATAGTCCCTAGTGAACCAATAACTTAGGCAAATAAACAAACCAATATTACCCTTCTCCTGCCTTTTACTCACCCAATAAAGATAGCCAAAATTAAAATTGGAAAAAAGGAAGAAGTGAGTAGAAAATAAGACTCCCGGTCACTTGGAAAACTGAAAGCCTTATGACGATGCTTCCCCTTCTCCCTTCTAGAAGTACTCTCTGCATTACTACATATCTATTTATTTATTTTCACCCTTTAGAACTACAATGAATGTCAAAAAGAATATTTTAAAATTTCCAGTATCATTCCAATAATAAACTTCAGAACCATCCAGTGCTGGAACTTGGAGGTAAAAATTAAGAAATTGTTGAGTCATAGGGTATTATTACTTCAGAATAGAATGTAAATGAAAAGCTCAAATAAGTTTCTAGACCTAAAAAGAAAGATTTTTTTATGCTAAGATATTTATAATAATATTTTAAGCTATAACTTATAAGGATAAATAGACTTAAGACTTAATAATATAAATTTTCATAAATGAGAAAAAAGTTATGCATTGTACTGACTTTTTTCTAACATAAAAACCATCCCTTTAAATAGTTCTCATTTAAGTTATAACAATTTTTTTCATGTAGAATATATAGATAATTGTGGGGTTAATATAATGTAATTTTCAATTAAAATATAAAATTTAACAAATATTATTTTCTTTTGCTCTCAGGAGAAAAATGAGAGCAGGTCTCATAACCTGAGGAGCTTCCTTATATTAACATACATTATATCATTAGTACAAGATGTGCACTGCTACTATTCTTCGGTCTCTCCTGGAACTTGTTCAGCCCTGGGAAAATCATCTTCATACTTCTTCTTGAGATTACTTAAATATGTTCGTAAACTGTCTGGATCCAATCGAGAGTTTCGGGCAGTTTGAACAAGCCTAGTGGCTAGCAGGTACACAG